CAGGCTCTGGGCATTGCCTTTTAATCAATTAAGATCAATTAACCAAAAGTTACCCCCGAGCCTCAGTTCTTCAGCTCAGGCCCCTCTAGTCTACCGGTTCTAATCCTGGTCCTGGTAACTTTCACTGCCAGCAACTTTCACTCCCCACACTTCTACTTTCTTACCTTAACCTTTCCCCAGGTATCCCAAGTACACCAAGCACATACATGCATACATACATATCACAACACCCAACTTAGGAACTCACCTGTGTGTATGTGTACGTGGAATACACACACACATATATAGATATCATTGTGTGTGTGTGGTATATGAATTAGTAATCCATGTATGTGTATTGGATGTGCAGGTGTTGGTAACTGATTCTGTCTAAATTTGGTATGTGTAGCATATATGGGCTTAAACTGGTGACAACTGTGCATGAACCTAGACTGGTTATTTTGAATGTGTGTGTATCTGAGTTACTAGTGTGAGTGTGTATGCCTAGTAGGGGTGTATGCACCTAGTGAGTGTATGTGTGCTTAATTGATTTTTATGTGTGCATGTGCAATTGTGCACCATGCACTCCTGTCTAACAGTGCAATATTGAGATCCTGAGCATTGGCTTGACCACCCAGGGCAACAAACTAAGGAATCAAGAACTGACAGATTTCTAAATCCTGAACTACTTTGTGTCCATGACACAGTACATATTTTAGCATCAAGTCTGAGTTCCTTTGCTCATGAGAACCACAGTGTTACTTTTGCTGTGTTTATCAGCTGCTCCATTGTAGTCTTATTACAGTTCTTAATCTTAATTGAATTTCATATCATGTTTGGAAGACTATTTTTCTGTGGTGCTTGAAAGCAAGGAAGCTGACATCATGATGGAAAGTAAATCAGAGTGTGAATGGAAACCTTGAGCATTTCATTTTGCATACCTTAAAACAAAGTTAGGAAATTCTGTAACCACATTTTGCTTCTCATGGAGTTGAAGCCTAACAGCTTGATAGATCTGAGCCCAATGACAGAGAAGTTCTGCCCTAGAACACTTTTATATAAAAAGTGAGCATCTATCCTACTATGATCCACTAGGAAAAAACATAGCCAAATTTAAACCAATATATTAAGTGCATTTTAATGGCACTTAAAGAAATATGTAGTAGCCATTTACTTGCAGATTGACTTCAAAATTATCTGGAGTCTGCTGGAACTCTGGAATAAAAAGCACTGAAAAACTTTGCAAGATTTTTGTACTGGCTTAATTGCATTCTACCTAACAACTGTAAATGTGAATACCCCACGTTTTGCATTGCTGGCAACTAAGTCAAGGAAACAGGCATTTTACTAGTACAGCTGGTTCCTCCCTTCTGCTAAATCTCTTTCCTTCATGAAGATTGATGCTGAATGACTTCCATCAAGGTTGCTATATTTCTGAAGACTACACCAAAGGACAATCAGAGAACACCAATTAACTCTTCAGAGACCTGACCTTACTCCATTGTACGCAGAAAAGAAAGTGGGCGAACAAAAAATTTCCCTTCTATTAATTTTAGAAACATTAAAAGCAAGATGGTCAATCTGGAAATATTAAACAAATAGTAAGAGAAAAAATATCATGTAACAATACTGTGCTCCATAGCAGAAATTTTCAGAGTACTTTACTAATGTATAGGAAGGGTGGGTATGAACCCTTAGCAGAACTACAGGGTCTGCCAATATATTCTATTGCCTCTTCTTAATTGAGTCTACTTAGAGTGTGGCCTGGGTGCAGAGGCTGGTGCTTGGATTTCCTGTAGGAAAGTAAAATTGATTGAATCATCCCTAGGGAGATGTTGATGTATTATGTCTCAATGCTAGCAACATATTAAATATAATTATTGTTACCTAATGGACCATACCTGTTATCAAAAGAGAGGCCATCCTTTCTGGAAAAAAGATGAAACACTCTGCCTTTAAAATAGCCATTCCAAAAACAGAAGGTGACAGTTAGCAGTCAGGGTTTCTTATTATGCACGCATATGTCACAGATACAAGGGCTTCTAAACAAAGGATAGTAAAGTAAACTCTGGTTAATTCACTGTTCCTAGGGGATGCAAATAATGCTGAACTATCCAGTAGTGACCAATTAGCAGGTGTTGGCAATTGGCAGGGGAAGCTGATGAAGAACTGGAACAATTCCAATTAAACAATAGGGGCGAGTTATCCTATAGGCAAATTAAACCTCTTTGCTATTGCAATTGAAGCTTGAGAGAATTTATAAACACATGTGAGGCCAGGATCTTTTTTTTTTTTTAAATTTAAGCTAATTGAATATTTTTGGTGGAACTGACGCATGACATAAGAATGCCCACCTGTGTACGTAGAACATATATAGGTGTTTACATGTATGTATTCAATGAATATCATTAAGCAATTTGTATCACACGTCCTGTAGTTTCTTTTGAGTCTATCTCACAAATTCAATCTAAACTCTCCAGTTCAGTGTTATTGTTTGTTATATTTTTCAATTTAATCTCTCCAGTTCAGTGTTATTGTTTGTTATATTATTATCACCGACATTATGGATTGATACCATCCCAGCAAACGTTCTGAAGCAAGTTATTGCATGATTGACATTAACTGTCCAGGAAAGTTCTTGTTCTTTTTCTTTTAAGGCTTTGCTTCAGGATACTACACTCAAATACCTAATATAAAGGGTATGTTCTCAACTTCCTTTGTATGGTGGCAGTAGCAGAACATCCTGCACCTGAAATTAGGAATTGTTTTCCTACATTAGAGTGTGAATTTCCTGCTCATAAAAAGGTGAAGGGGGAACAGATAAATAAATAACCTGTGCAGCATTTGCTAAATTGTTCTGTTAGTGCACCTCACTCTGTGTTTTAACACTGTGCAAAATGGTGTAGATCTTTGACTGCCCTGACTCGGGGACAGTTCCCACTAATTCTCTTGTTTATAAGGAGCTAGCATACAATTGCCCCTTTGCTTTGCCTTGTGCCAGCATTGACCACTTCTGTATACATACTTGTGGGAAGTCCCCTTGAAGCTGATAGCCTGTTACTATCTTGTTGGTTCAGGCAGTCTGGGTCAGGGCCTTAGATGGGGTAAATTGGCATAGCTATTGTTTACACCACTTGAAGTTTTGGCCCTCCAAAGTCTTATCATTTACTGCACCTCCTTATATTAATGGGAATTTGATATATTTAAATAAACTTCCTTGTACCCAGCTTATACAGAGATGCCAGAGTGCTGGTTTGGCATAGAGGTGTCCTTGATTTTTCTGACATCCCCTTCTATGGGGTACAACTACAAATTTATTATAATACTGTGTTCTTTATATAAATAGTGTAATTTTGCTGTGCCTCGCTGTAATCACTGTTGTATTAACACTCCATGTTACCTGCTTTGATATTGGTCTTTACTAGCCACACATTTCCTATGAAGAATAGTCCATAATTATATAAACTTGCACAGAGCAAATGCTGTTGCGGGAGTAAAAATATTGTTGGAATTTCTGTGTCATGAGTCTAAAATGCAAGCATCCAGTTAAAAATTAAAGAAAATGGCTGTATAGTATTCCAGGAAATTGTCAAGACCACTAAATATTGTATAGTTTTGACCTGTGTTACATTGAACTCACTCTATGTTTCCAATAAATACTTACATCAGATTGCTCCAGAACCAATGTCAAACTTAGTTAAAAACAAAATCCCCTTGTAGTTTAAGTATGCACCACAAATACTAAATATATCTCTAAAGTGTACACTGCTGTTAGGAAGCTTTTCTTATATGATGCTGATGTGCCAAACTTGAAATAATCTGTGGGCCTTATCCCAACATTTTCCCTTGTAATTACATTAAATAAAAATACATTCTTAGTTCTCCAACATCTAAGCTAATTTTATTTTTGTGTATTTCTAGTGTAATAAAAAAGGTTTCTTTTATAGATCTGATCTTCTTGTACATTTGAAATTGTAACACTGCCTTCAGTTGGAGCAGGAATGCAGTGCTTAGGAAAACACTGAAGACAGATAAGGAGTTAGGGAAATGTGAACTTAGTTTTAGAATACTAGGATATTAATGAAAAGTTGTATAGCCCTGCTTATTTTGGAGATGGCAAGCAGAGGAACAAAGGGCCAACCATAGGAAAATAATTTTTCTAGTAGCAGCAGCATCCATCTCTTTGGCAGTCATCTCTGGAAATTGTGTTGGAAGCTCTATATTTGCCTCTGGTCCCCAGTGTCACGTATTTACACTGCTGAGAGGTTATTCTGAACTTTTATCTTCCTGCACCGTGTTACCTGATTTTCTTTGGTCTTGTCATTTTCTCCCCAAGACCCTTGCCATTTACCCTTTTGCAGATAACATTCAAAATTAAATTGCTATTAGAAAACTGTGTGCTGTTTAAGAGTAATCATAAAAATATTTCTCTATAAACTACTGTGCAACTGTGTGATTAGAGAGTCCTGATAACCAGTCTATCTAGCCATGTGTATTGCACTCAGTCTGCTGAACTAGCCAAACTTCCTCTCCTTCCTACCCACAAATCAGTCTTGACCTGACCAAGAGCTGTGGGATACAGCAGCTTTCAAGATGTGTGTGCCCCAGAGTAAATGGTTTGTGCACTGTGAACAGCTCAAACAATTATCATTTGATGACTGCTTCAAATAAATAATAAGTTGGAACTGTATATATAAAGTAAAAACATACAAAATAATAAATACACAGAAAAATAAAAACACTTTCCCCCCTATTATTCTTTCTTCTGCCATTATTTTAAGCCACTGGAAGCTATTGTTTGGCCACCCATGTGCTGTACTGTGCTCATTGTCCTACCTGGGATCCTAAAGGTAGGGTTGTACACATCTAAATTTACATTCCTGTCTGTACTAGATTTTCTTTGGTGATCTCATTTTCTGTGTTTTCTACTGCTGACTCCTTTAGTAACGTTTTCTGCTTCAGGATGTTTCCAATGCAGTGAAATTATCATAAAAACAAGTTTAAAATAATCAGGATGGGCATATCAATATTTATTGAAATACTGAAAAAAAAATCCATTGGTGATGAGAAGCTCCTGGAAAGAACTGACATGACAATATGTATTTCACTGATACAGTAAGAGAACTTCAACTTCAACAAGTAACTAACTGCACATTCTAAAAGTTGCATGGATTCAAATCCAAGGCAGCTGCAGAACATCTGTAATACAAATATTCAAACATTACAGATTGTCTGTTTACAAACACAGAACTATAATAAACCAGCCAAAACTAAAACCTTTGTAATTTAGTCTGCATTTACTAATACGTCCTGTAATCAATAAGGCAGTCATCAGTAAACGTCTAGTTACAAAGTGGTTAACAATTAACCTTCAAGAGCATTTTGTTTGCAAATTTTGGGCAATCTAGAGGGATTCTTGGAACCACAGATTCTGGCTAATATACTCTATCTGAAACTCTTTCCGTTAAATTATATGCAAACTTTTCCTTTTCTTTTACATCCTTATATTAGTAATCTTGTCCTTTATATGGAGTATAGTGCTTTGTATAGAGTTAGCAACACATTTTTATTTATATTTTTAAAATTTTTAATATTCAGTGAGGTTCACCATCATGTTTCAATAAAAATTGTAAATGTACAGAATGCAAAACTTGAAATGTAAAAAAAAAATCACTATACCTATGTTGTACATATGTGACTACAGAACTTCACAACCACCTTCAAATGCCACTCACATCTTTTTTATTTTTGCTGTTTTTTTCAATTGATGTGTCCTTTCCTATTGAGTGCATATGGTATTTGGATGAACTACTTTCAGATTACATTTGGTCAGTATGACAGAGTGAGCAGTGTTCTGTAATGTGAGACAGAAATCTAGGTTTGTACCCTACACATGGACAGACCAGTAAAACTGATTAATACAGATGATTAAAATAATCTGTTTTGTACTATTACATACGGAATAACTGATGTCTTTGGTATAAAATGTACAATGCTTGGAAAAGAATTGAAGATAAGAATGCACCTTTTTAAATTCACATGAAACAGAAGAAGCTACAACTCACATAATTTACAATAGATTTAAATAAACTACATTTAGGATTATGAAGATTTACAGACATTTAATCAAGTGAATGATTTTAATTTGTCAAGACCCTTGTATGTCCCTGAACTATGTTCCACTAACTTGAAGACATGCTACAGTAAACACATATATTTGGCTTCTTTATTCTGGCTATATTTTATATAAAGATGAAACTAAAGAACAATAAATTAGCATCATAATTGTCTACAGTGAAAACTATGATATACAATATAAATAAACTATTCAAAAGCCAGCAATCTTCATGAAAAAAATTAAGGGATTAAGAGTTTATACAGTTTCTACAAGTGATTGTGCAGCCAATAATCTCAAAAAATTAAAGTTGAAATGAAATTCCCCTTTTGATTTTAGTGTCTCACGACATACAGCAATTAAATACTGGTAAAGTAATTACCAATCTGAAAGCAACATTAAGGAAATCACTGCTTTGCAATTTTATCACAGTTTTCCCCCACAGGACCTAAAGAATGTAAACACTATGGTTTTTTTAAAGTGTAAAGTATTAACACTTTATTTTAAACATATGTTGATCCACACCTGCACAGTTACCTTTTAAGATAATGAGATAAGGCAAAACTTTCATAACTGTGGCACTACATGTTATAATACTGATATCTTCATTTGAATAGAGATGTACTTATTTGTCCTTATCCAATATTTGTTCTGCAGCAGACTTTGGTCTACATAGACATGGCAGTATCACTCTTCTTTCCTCATGTAAAGGATTTTAATTACCTAACTTTTATTTTTTTAAAGTTGTGTTAACTTGAGGACCTGTGTCTCAAATTTACTTTCTTTATTTTATTGGTAATTATAAAGATAATTTTTTAATGAGCTACTTGTTTTTGTCAGCTGATATATTGTTAGGCTTCTTTTTTTGCATAGCTAAATACACTTCAGTTGTTGGCTTGCATTATTTAGAAATGTCATAATTTGAAGTCCCAGAAAAGATTGTTTTTAAAGAAGCTATCTTCCAACATGATGGCTAAAAGACTGATTATCTTCAACAAGCTTACTTGCTAGAAAATCTAAGAAATTCCTATGCCAGAACCATGTTTTAGCTACTGCAATAGAAACATGATTGAACTGGCTAATTTGCTTTGGAGCAGCTATTTTTGATGTTTTGTAGCCATTCCATATAATAGTAGCAGAAGAGGGATACTGCCTGATTTAACAACATGAACACATGACAAAACAAACCTCAGAACATATTAAGAATGTCAAGCTAACTTATTAACAGACTTCATATTAGCTATTTGCAGGCCTGAGACACAGACATTCAAAACCAGGCTTTTATGATTTGGTGGAGCTACTATAGTGTGTGGCCTACTCCAGGTATTTATTACAGATTGTTGAATAGATGCCACTTCATTTATGCCAGAAGAAGTAGGCATTGGGTCCTTGGAAGGATGAAAGATGTTGGAGATGCTGTCTTGCATCCTTTAGAATTCTTTTAGAAGTCCGGCTATACAATGAAGGAATTCAGTGCACTCAAATTCCCCACTATATTAGCTTAATAACACAGATCAGTTTGTTCCTAAATTTCTTCATATTGGTGATCAGGAAAGTTAAATATACAAGACTTGTTCTGTCCTTTTTCATGTTGACATTGGTGATAGTATCCACTTGTAAGCTCATTTCACTCTGGTACAAAGTCCTATACAGATTCCTTTGGGGATATGTAGCATTTGATTCACAGTTTGCAATACAAATACCCTGATACATCACTTATTTACTATTAAGTATTTGATTATTATACCATTTTGCAAAGTCTTAAAACCAAGTTTTTAATTAGCATTGCTTGGAGCAGTTCAGAGTATTTTTTTTTCTTGAAAGCAGAAGCTCTAATGGGTATAATTTATGCTCTCTTTGCATGCAGCATTTCAATGAGGAGGTTATTACATGGCACATCCCCATTCAGGTGTTTGTAGTAGAGGTATTCTTCAGCCTGCATACTGATGGCACGGATTTCTGGTAGCCGCAGGAGAAGCTGGCCAAATTTGTCTGTTTGCTGTGGGTAGTTGCACATTGTATAGTCCAGCAGAGCAGCATTCACTTGTTCCTGAACCCCTTCCACCAGCTGGACGTTCTCAAGATTTTTGACATCTAGATTAAAAAAAGAAAAATTAAATGCATTTTAATTCTTATTTACCAAAGCAGCGTTTCAGTTCATGGATGCATTTTTCTCCTGACAAAAGCATACTTTCTATACTGTTGAATATTCAGCAAACCCTTTTGCCCCAGTTTCCTGGGAAAATGATTGCAAAAGCGCTTTAGCAGTGTGTCTGAAATTCTTCATATACCTCAAATCAATTAGGCTCCAATGGAGTTTGAGCAAGGTCAACTCTCTTCATATCTCACAAAAGGAAAGGTTGAAGATTCCTAAAGTAGAGGACCATAATGTACTGCCAGAAAATGAGCCCCCAGAGGCAGACCTATCTTTAACCTAGTATATTACACAATTCATATAATTCTGTATTAATTTTTCTGACCCAAGGTGAAATCTGTGTCCAGGGTATGATGTAGTTAATTCTAATAAAAAGTGACAGGGTTCTTGTTTCTGTTTGACATTTTCTAAATGATTCTGAAAGCCTTTGACTTGTCTAGTCTATGCTAATGAACCATCTGGTACACTCCAGTGACTGCAAAAATAATCTTCCCTACTAGAAATTCTCTAAAATATATATTTCAGTGACTAATGATCTTTATAAAATGAAACCCTTGTCCTTTGGGCAGAATAAAAGATAAGGATGGTGGCCTTTAACCTGAATATGGCTTTTGAATTCTGAGACATTCGTTTTCTTTGCTACTGGACAATCGTGCCATTGATATTGGTAAGGTGGACACTGGCAGTTTGTTCATTGTAACTGTATTTGATTATTTACATCGATTCTATAGCATTAAAGATCTCTCTAGAAATACATAAGTAGATGATAAATGATGATGTATTAAAATTTTAAAAAACTATTTTACTTCCATAAAATGTATTTTGGCATCTTCCTTTGATATATCTGGAGCTTGTTCAGTCTTAAATATATAATCCTTACCTTTACCAGTAACAAAAGTGTGAATTAGAGTTCTGTCCAGTGTAAAAGTTCAAACTGGTAAAGGTACAATTGCAGAGAGAACCCATTTTGCTTGATATTTGTTCATGTAATATCAATATAAATGAATGATAGCACAGAACAAAAAAGTGCTAATTAAGATTAAATTAAGGGTGGATGATCACCTATAGTTTCTTCAGCACAGTATGCAGGGAATTTGGTGAATTCCCACCTGTGGACTATCAGGATCACATTGTTGGAAGGAGGAGAATGGAATTTTCCACTCTGCAGAATGGGAATGAGTATGCCTCTTGCTAACTTATTCATACTCTTAGATACATATGGAAATTGAGCCATCTGCCAGTGACCAGCCCTGGTTGCACCTGTTCCTGAAAGTGCTTTTGATAGAGCAAATCTGCATTTCTGCATCCAGCCTTAATCAATCTTGCCATATGCAGGACAACTATAGGAATAGTTGAAGAACAGAATTCTGACCATCCACTTGGGCAAAAGGTTCTGAGGCACTCTTAAGCTTCTTCAGACTCCTAAGTCTGCAGCAGACTTAGGCCTAATGTAATATTCATAACTACGTCTTTGATATATTTTGTCCTGTAGGCAATTCTGCTATGCATGCCTGTTTCATCCTCTCTCTGCCTGAATTTAGGAGTAGCCTATATGTCTGCACTGAACTGCTTAAGTCCTCAAACTGGCCTTGGGGAAACCACCTGGCTCTTTTTTTTCTGTGCCAAAGGCCTGAGGAACCAGGACCATAGCCTGCTCCTGAATTGCTGGTTGGCCTTGAAGCCACTGGCCAATATAAAGTTGTGTCAGATTGTGACAGCCAGAACCAGAAGGATTAATAAGCAATAATGTGTGCTTCTTGGAGGCATTTGGTATTTTGCCTAAATAGGTAATATTAGTTAATATACACTTGTAAGTTTGCAAATGTAACTTGTCCGTCATAAGTTTAACCAAACTGATAAATTAACTGTTCATGGAACTGACTGGGCCCCAGAGGCAAAGCTGTAGCTGTGAGATTAGCTGGCCTAACGGTTTTTTGCTCTGGGTTCAGCCTTAGCGATAAAACCTAGATCTAACTGCTAGGCACACCCAACACATTCCAGGAAGAGGTATCCCAAGAAAGCATATTCAACTGAAGCCTAAAAGGGGTTGAGATTTAGGCGGAGCAATGTCAATTTCAAACCTAAATGTGCTGCATCATAATTTGCTTATTGGATAAACCTGAGTCTGGGTAGTAACCTTTTGTGATGATTTTGACACCTTTCAATCCCATAGGGTAACAGCTATAGGGCAACATTGTGAGTGGCCCTGAGGCCAACAGATTAGCATAAAACTAGGTATAAAAAACACATGCATCAGGTAACCAGCAGGAAGGAGGGAACAGAACGGTCATTTCTGTCCCATGCCTGGACCCCGGACTCCCGGTGTGAGTGAGGATCGGATCCTGAGCAAGAGCCCTTCCCTGGTAAGCCCTCTGACAGCGTTGATCTTCAGGGACGCCTGACTTTGCTGGAACTACTTGGCGCGCACCTGGCATTGAGGGACTATCGATAAGTTGCCAACCCATGTCTGTCTATTTGTTGTTTTGAACACCCCAGTGTGGCTAATACCCTCGCAGAGCCCAGTTGGCCTGTGACAGATTGATCTATCTATCTGTTATTATTATCTGTTGTTATTATTTTACTATTAGCTCTTTTGTATTGCCTTATCTGCTTATCGCATTTATCTTTCTGTTAACTATTGTGTGTGTGTAAGCTATAATAAATTTGCCTTTATTCCACTCCCAACTTTGCCTCCTTGATCCAAAATTGATACACTCACAGTGCCCAGCTGGCCTGTGACACAGATAACCAAAGTGAAGCCTCTGAACTTTGTTTTACTCAGAGATAGAAGCTCATGAAAGTAGACTTCAAAGCTAGCTTCCCCAGTTAGCAAACCCTTCCATTATACAAAGTTTTCTGGTATCTTCAGATAACCAGGTCTTCATTGTTGGTTTAAACATATTTCTGGGAGGTTGTAAAGAAAACGAACAGTATGAAGTATCAGAGTTGTTTAAAATGGGTTACTTTCCAATAATAAATACAACCATTGAATCACTGTTGTGATATAAGGCATTCCCAGACAAGAGAAAGAAAACTTTAGATATATATATTAGTATGGAGTGGGCACATCTATACATGCAATTAATTCATAGCAATAAACTTGAGCACATATGATGCTGGAGTCGATTGCTCCTGGGTGCACCATTTGAACGTGTGCCTGGAACCACAGCACATTAAGCTGGATCGGAGCATCCATGGGCTGGCAGGGCCCTGGAGAGTCAACCTGCCAGCCTGTGGCTTCTTCAATCCTATTCAACGTGCTGCGGAGGGACTGGCTGGGGCACGAGGGTGCTCCAGAACAGAGCTAGCTGGCAGGCAGCCCCTGAATTGAAGCACCCTTGTGCCCCAGCCAACTGGGTAACATCTACTTGTGTGCTGCTGCACGTGAAAAAACTCTGCAACACCATATGATTTATATTTACAAATACTAACCTGCTGCAAAGTTTATTAGCTTACTGCAGCCTAATAGGGCCACACGTGCAGATGCCGAGACATTTACTGCGGAGCTAAATAGACAACTCCACAGTAAACATCTTGTGTAGACATGCCCACTGTGGAGAATTTTACTCTGAATTAAAGAGCAAGATAGATGAAAACCTATTACAAAATTTGTTTAAAAGAGTGGCTGGTTTGAGATGCTATGGATCTGATCCAAAACCCACTGAAGTTAGTATCGACTTCAGTGGGTTTTTGATCAGGCTGAGATTTTAAGTTAAATTAATGTAATATCTTGAAATAAAAGATTAATTCTAATTTTTGGTCTGTGTTTCTAGACACTACATACAGTTTCAAGGGGAGCATCACAAAAACTTCATTTTTCCCCATAGAGACTAGGAAAAACCAATATCTGACGATATATATTTTGTATGTTTATTTAAAGATATGGAGGCAAACTGTGTGCTCTGCAGAGATATATTCTGCTCTCAGATGTGCCTTTATTATATTTAAATCAGCTGGGCCACATTTTCCTCACTCCCCTCCTTCTCCTTTCCCTCCCTTCCCCCAAGTTATACTTGTGTATGATGTTCATTACAACTGTGGAACTGTGCAAGTTCAGCCGTTTGATCTGCTTCCAGGGAGGGTGCCCAGGTGTGAGATGAAATCTCTCCCTTGGTGATCTTATCTCAGTGAGCAGTCCTTTAAACACTCAAGACAGTGGCAAGCACTATAGTAATGCACATAAACAACAGCAATGAATGTTAAATGTTACATTTCAATGCCAACTTTGTATCTGTGATGCCACATCATATTTAAGCTGTGGGCCTTGATGCACAACATATTTGCACCCGTGTAATTTACATCACTTTTGTACAGCCAGTATAGACTGCGCTGGGACCCAGAATAAACAGACAACCACTAACCAAGGGTATCTATTGCAATAGATGATGTTACAGCTGGGACTGTAGGTAATAGCTTATCTGCATCAAGTGAACGGGTGCTCCAGCATTGCTATTGACACGATGTTTACACCTGTGAGACTTACACTAGCGTAGTTTTACTTGTGATTTTTGCCTGGATTCAAGTAAGTTAGACTGGCATATAATTATCTGTCACATGTTTGTTTCCTTTTATATTCCTTTTTTATATTCATGTAACTGTGCGTGTCATCTGCCTAAGCCCTGAGAATACGTTTCTTAATACTGGTCAAGATAGGTTCCTGATAACTACAGTGAGGATCATATGTTTGGAAACAGACTTTGCTATTTAAAATGAATTGAAATACTGTGAATGTTTCTATTCTGAATCAAATTACTCGTAGCTCCAAATTATTATGATTTGGACCATGATTCCCCAGTTCTCTTGTGTGCAGAACTCCCAGGTACTGCAATCAGAAGTGTGTGGATGGACGGATTGCTGGATGAGTAGTCTTGAGTGAGGATATTCTTCATTCATAAAGTATTGGCAGTATTTGTGGTCTTGGTGTGTGCCCCTGAGCAAA